GTCTTTAACATCCTAAAAATAGTTCAAAATCGTTAAACCTTCCCTGCATTTTCACCTTTTTTCTGGTTCTGCCTTTGTTTTAATGTTTGCGCTAATATTAGCCTACTTTAGCTTTTTTATTTGCTAAGACAGGTAGTAGCTTTTCTGCTTTTTTCGTTACCTTTTCCTCATTTCAGTTGTTCATCTAATCAATTTTTTTGTGCTTCTATGAACTTCTTTCTGCTAATTTAAGCTTTGTTTTTCTTCTTTCAGTTTTCTGCAATTTAAGCTACATTTTAGCTAATTTCAGCTAATTTTAGCCTTTCCAGCTAAATTCACCTTTTTGTGAWACTTTTATYTACTTTTTACAGCTGTTCAATTCAGCAAACATGCTCTTTGCKTATTTGTATTAGATTAAGGCTTTTCAGCTACTTTTTAAGCAAATTTTCTGCTATTTTACAATAGATTGCAAAATGTTTGTTCATCTTTTCTTTTGTTTGTTCCTGCAAAAATCTTTCAGCATCAAGCATTCGTGCTTCATTTTTGCAGAAAATGCTAATTCTCTTTATGGCTGTGATTTTTTTCCCCCTTTCATTTCAACTCACAATGTTCCCAGTTAGAAATGCAGAAAAGATGAAGGTGTATAAGGAAACAGTCAGGATGGTGGTGAGAACTAAAATGTGTGAAAACCAATTAAAAAGCCCAATTCTGCCGGTAGACTTTCCCGTGTGAAGCATGAGTCTGCAGACAGAAACCAGGCGAGGCTGCCGGTAAACTGAGCTGCTGAATGATGAACAAATAAAAGCCCTCAGACATTCTCTGCCAGCAGGATAAATGCTGTGTCAGCAGGCAGCACATACACACACCACACTGAAGGGAATTCATGTTTATGCTCAGCAAAATACACACCGACCGGATCATGTGCTGAAATCTCGAGCATTTGACCAAAAAAAAAGCTTAAGTTTCAGACGCCTCGGTGCAGAACCGAGTGAAATCCAACGTATTAGGCAAGGTCAAGCATCTGTCTTTACGTCCACGCTTTTATTTTTTAATGGCAGAYGACACGAGTGCTGAAAGCTGCACAGAAAATGATTCCATTATATTTTCTTGTGTGTTTGTGTGCGSAGCCATTTAACTGCAGAACAAATTAGTTTAGTGCTGACTCTGAACAGGCCYGTGCAATAAATCCATGCTCTCTTATTCCATTAGAAACCCACAGGGTGCCTGTTATTCAGGCCAAAGCTATGGAAGACAAACTTTGCCACAAAGACTGAACCCAGGCTTGACTGATTGTCATTTTCAGCATTAGGAAATAAGAAAAGCGAGAAATAAWACAAGCATGGATGTCCTCAAAATTTTGGGTTGAGAGCAATATTATAAAAAATATGTATATGTTTTAAAAAAGCCAACTAATAATAGGAACTAATTGCTTGTTTTGCATCCCTGGCAGCCCTCGGTCGTTGATCATTATTAAGCACCCAAACAACCACTTGACTTTTTAGTTTCCTTGGCAATAAGCAGGCTAAATCCTGCTCCACTTCTTCTTCAGGTGGAAGTGAGTCAGCTGAGCTGTTGTATGAATCGCCCCCGTACCATCCTCACGCTTTGTCTGAGCTCATTGTAGAGTAGAGATGGAGAGAAAGGAAGAAAATGAAATGAAATGAAACGCAGAGACGAATGACAGTCTGCTATTATCAACAGCAATGTTTYTCTTCAGGCAAAGCACGCCCTGGCGCCGGAGCAGAAGCATCTTCTCGTTCATTCATCCAAGAAAACACAAATGTTTTCCAGTAACGCCTGCCTGAGCTGACGCGAAACAGCTGCCAAACTGTTGGCAAACGAGAAGCCGCTGCAGAGTCCAGACAGCCCTGATGGGAGCGCACGCAAACTCTGCTTACTGTCCTTGTTGAGAAGAAACTTGACAAGAAATCATTAGTCTGTGTTCAGCAGCTCGTTCCAGTCAGTCACTGGGTCTCTCTTTTCTTTGGACATGCAAAATTGTWCGGAGTAAAACGCTGACTCTCGCTGTTATTTACGATTTAAACAATCACTAAAACAGAATTAAAGGACTAACGCTCAATGAGACACGCACACTTTAGTGACAGCGTTTCGAATAACACAGCGTCTGTTGGAAAATGAGTTTTGTGGGCAGACTTTGAAATGAACCTTGTCAGAGGGTTTGTCTTGTGAGCGACTCTTAGCTACGACCACGTCAAATTCTACCTCAACGCCCTTCAAAATTATTGAGTTTCAGCCATTCTTGTGTTGTCTAATATCGATTAGTTGTGCTGGTCGACTTGAATTGGATCGCCTCCAAACGTTAATCAGTTGTAGATGYACATCAAGTGAATATTTCCTGATATTTTCAAAAAAAATCCATCTGGTGGTTCATGAGATATTTTGCTAACAGACCTCTGACTCTAAAAGGCTCATGCCAAAATTTTACAGTCTCAGCTACTGCTGGGCATCTTGAATCAGGTTGGTTCTGTGCATCGAATGATTTGAAGGTTCATGGTTCCACATATGCTCAGACATGAGCAAAAACATGCTCAAACCAGCCTTCCAGCACCAGTTAAACAAAACACCTACTGGTGTCTATAAAAAGGCTGAAATAAGGCATCCATTCCAGCCAGCACTACAGGCACAGCACTCATCTCATACATAAACTGGATCCAAGCGGCTCGTCATCATTTTGGATGGGTAATAAGATGAGCTAACAAAAACGAGGAAAGGTGAAAACACTGATAGGAGTTGCTGTCTGTGTCATAAGGACACCCAGCTGCAAAATAAAAAAGGAAAAAAATAAAATAAAACAAACACCTGACTCTGGACTCAGTCAGCAGAAAATGTCGAGTCACCATGGCAACAGAGGAAGCAACACACTTTGATGATGGAGACCGAATCCTCATCATCACCGTATCTTCACGTCATCCGTCACAGTCTGAAAAAAGCGGCGATGAAAATGTGCGAACGAGAGGTGGGGACAATTAAAAATAATAACAACAATAATCGCAGTTTGAGCACCTYAAGCTCGCGCCATCCCGGGTCACGTTGGCGCTCCTTATGTAACTGATTCACCAAGTCAGATGGAATTAAAATACGCATGGCCACCATCATATAAATATGAAAACGATGACTAATTTCTTGACTTCTTTTGCGTTTTTGCGCCAAAATAAGCCAAAAACCTTTTTTTACTCCTCAAAGTTGCGTAACGTTTATCAAGAACATCTGCTCACAGATGAATTTTTCAGAATGAAATCTTAT